GCTAATCGTATATCTTTTCATATCTCGCGCTAAGTGCGGTTACAACAGTGATAAAACTGTATCTACTTAAACTCCATTTCATAAAAATAAAATTGACGTTTATCTTTTAAAGTATTGATCCAGAAACCATTATTCACCGGAATAATATTCGTGCAGCCAAATGTCTGATCCAGGAAAGGTATTTCCCCTTTTATCTGAAGCGCTGTATCCAGCACCACCATAGACCAGGGGCGTTGCATGCCCATATTGATCGTGCTGTCTTCGTTGTAGAAATGATACTTATGTTGTGTTATTCGGAAAAGATAAGGTGAAGCGGAGGCCGTGGTTAAAAAACTATAGGTAAAATGATTCGCATAAAACTCCATGATATAATCTTTATTCGCATCATTGGCTATATTAAAACTATCAGTAGGTTGAACCGCATAATTACTGTGGGCATCATACTGCCCTGTTGGTTGGCCCGGCGTATCTGTAGCATAGGTATACAGTGAGTCTGACAAATAAAAGCTGGTATAAATACGACTGCCAAACAAAATGGTACAGGTTCTGGAAACTGTTATACCAAAGTATTTGCCCTCATAACCTCTAGGATAATAACTAAACATACTGCTGATATAGGCGCTGTCTTCGCCTAACTGCAAGGCGAGCGCATGAGGTTTATGAAAGAACTCATAACCGTTTGCGCAAGGAAAAGCACTAGCCTCATAATAAAGTCGTGCGTGTTTTGGATCATACGAGATCAGATTATCATATACCCCGCCGCCTACCAGGATATTTTTCTCGTTTTCATAATCGGTATTCATACGCCAGCTTTTTTTTATATTCCCATTAATATCAAACAAGTATTGCCTGCCTTTCATCGCGCGCGTGTCCAAAGAGGCTGTCTTCTTTATAGTAACAGACATCCTGTATCTGGTGTTGCAGCATAAAAGAGTCTAAAGCAGGAATATATATTGGCTGCCCTTTATGGGTACCATTTATTGGAACTAATACAATCCGACTGCTCTTTACCATCCACACCAGTAGATAAGGCTCTTTATTATAACGTACAACATACATAGCTGCTTGTTTTAAGCTATCCGGATGCCCTACCTTAATGTAAATAGAATCACGGAGCTTTAAAGTGATAATTGGATTGGCAGGTAC